GCCATTGTGTGCATCTGAGGAGTAAAACAGCAGATGTGAGGGAGCTGAGTTTGTGTTCCCTTGTTCTCACTCTCACACTTGTCCTTGGTCTTGCTTTCACTCTTACTTTCTCTGTCTCTCAAATATTTAGAAAATTACTTCCTGACTGAGGATCATTTTGTCTCCCATCACTAAATTTTTGTAACAATTTGCAACATAACAGGCACTAAATATATTACCATCTTTGAACATCACATGACTTCAATGACCTTTTCTGAGATTTGAAGTACCAGAATATCAAAAATAAGAACAAACAGAAGGACTATTATAAAAAAAGAAACAAGGTTCTCTCCCATTCCTTTGTTCAAATAGGGACAATTCAAAGGAATATACAAAATGAAAACAGTGAATACTACCGCACACAAGCATACACACACATGCACACACGATGGAGGCTCCGTGAGATAATATCATATCTGTACTCTACAGAACTGAATCCCATCATTGGGAACTATAACACAATTTCCTCCCATGAAGCCTGACTGATATGAAAAAAGGTGTCATTCTGCCTATACTAAACGCCCATCAGAGAAAACATGGGAAATAACAAATTAAAAGCATGGTGTAGGAGAATCATTTTGGAAAATGACAAACTAAGCTTTATAAAAGTTTGAGATTTGCATGGCAAATTAAATAAAACTTGTTCCTATCACTTATGATGACTAGAACACACTTAGAATAATTCTTCCAATGCTCAAAAGGCAAAGACAATCCAATATAATTTTTACAAAGCAATGTTTTCATAAACTAAACGGTTAGAGCAAATTTTTCAGGATTACCTCAGCTTACTCCATATAACACCACGGAGCAAAATTTACAGCTCTTTCAAACTCCAATGTCTATAAAAACAGAACGCCTTGAAGGAAAATGGTACCATATTTAAGATAGTGATATCTTTTATTAGTACTGTAAAGTTCTATTTTTATGGAATAGGATGGGTCTGAGGTCATTCCATAAAATTGATTTCCCAGAAAATGGAAATAGGCAATTTGCTCTAAGAATTTTATCGAAAAATTATGCTATTCTATTTGAATAATGATGGGAATGTTCTACACGTTTCCTTTATTAATGAATTAAAATACACAAAACACCATAAAATTATATTAGAGGTTCAAAAGTATCACTTAAATCTTCTTTACCAGTCACTTTCATTTTGTAAAATCAGCAGTTCCATTAAAATCGTATTATGTAAAAATGGGTTTTTACTGTAATAATAGTTATTACCTATTTAGCTCCCAAGGATGTTGTGAAAATTAAATAATAAGCCATTGGAAAGAAAATACAAAGTGTCGCTAATACCAGAGGCCAAGAGGGGCAGCCAGATGGAAAAATGAAGGAAAGGAACACTTGATACATTACAAATCACAGCTTTCCTCTGTAATTCCATTACCATCAGGATGTTATGCAGTAGCCATGTGCTCTGATGTTATCTCATTTAATCTTCTTCATCCTATGATGTATTAATTACAGCCTTCATGGTTTGTACATAAAGGGCAAAAGGCTTTGTACCATGCCACACACTTGGCAAATGTAGAATACACATGTGAACCCAGCTTTACACTAGTTGACAGCTTCAGCGTTCTCTAACAACGCCTCTTTCTGGGAATAGACACACTGACGCAACCAGCTAATCCTCCACCTCCACGAACCGGCATCCCATATAGGCACCAGTCCATATCTGGTTGCTCCACTTCCCTTCTAGCTCCCTGCTTGTGGCCTGGGAAAGCAGTACAAAATGGCCCAAAGCCTTGGGACCCTACACCTTTGTGGGAAACCTGAAAGAAGCTCCAGATTCTTGGCTTCAGATTGGCTCAGCTCCGGCTATTATGGTCATTTTGGGGAAGAACAAGCAGATGAAAGCTCATTCTCTCTGTCATCTTTGTAAATCTGCCTTTTCAATGAAAATAAATCTTCTTTAAAAAATGCCTCTTCCTCCATGAAATTACCACTCCTCTATTCACTTGAGACAACTGGATTACAAATACATCTGTTCATTATAATTATTCATTACATTGTTATGTGGAGAGTGTGTGTGTGTGTGTGTGTGTACCAAACTATATTATTTGCTATTTAAGGTCATGGCTATATTATACTTTTCTTCATAGCCCAGATCATGTGCAATGATATTGTACCTTAAATACAATGAATGTTTAACAAAATACCAAATTTAACGGGAAAGCAGTGCTTATTTTGATCACAACCACATTTATTACCAACTTCAAAGCAAATGATTTTAGCAATTCTTCACTGTCTTAGATACCTCTTTGGAAAGTTATTTTAGCTTTTCCAAATATATTCTATCGGAGTAAATCCCTTTGGTAGAAAATCTGACAAAAAATAGACATGAAATAGTAGTAGCTGTGTGAACAGTAAACAGAGCGATTTTGGTATAAATAGCCTTATTTGAACAAATTAGAGAAGGGAAGGCAGGGATAGGGAGTTTTTTTCTTTTTTTTTTTTTTCCTTTTTAAAGGATAACAATAAAGACTTACGCTTCTTAATCTCAAATTTTCTGATCCAGCTTCATAACCTTCTAGACTAGGTAAAAGCTGCAAGTTACTTAAGACAAGGCTTTTCCGCGTCTTACATTCTCTATGTGTGGAAAACAGGAATAGTAGGATCCAGGTATAGAGCAGTTGTAAGAATCAAACGAGCAAACTCATGTAAAGTACTCAGCACAGCATGTGGCACTCACTGAGCACCTAAATTACAGTTACTGCTGTCATGATCACTATCATAACACTAACTCTTCCATAGTCTTAAGAACTTGTTCAATGCATCAAACATTATTTTCATAGACATGAAAAATCTTGTAGCTCTCCTGTGTTATACCAAACTCAAAGATTCATTTCTGCTATTCAATCATTGATAGCAGCATTGCATTCATGAACTTCACCCAAGGAAGCACTCACTGAAATGCAACGTTATGTCAGTTGCAGGTGAATAAACTCACTTGATTCAAAGAATACTGACAATGCAAGAAACCAGGAGATCCTGGACCAGGTGAAGAGTTCAGTGAGAAGTAAACCATGGGCAGAAATGCAAGCAAGAATCAACAGGAAGCCCACCCCAAGTCAAAGCAGCATGAAAGGTCTGTGCCCCAAAATAAAGCACAAAACAGATTCAAATGTGAGCCAACCAAAGGAAATGTAAAGAGAGGTTATGAGAAAAAAGGAGAAAGCATTGGATAAAGAGCACGAATTTCATTTATCACATCTTATGTGTCTGCTTTTCCACCTCCTCCTTTACATGTGGCACTCCTCCTTTACACCTGAAAGCTATAAATAATGAACAACTACTATCCACATTTCAAAATGTTAACTCCCCTTATTTAGTAAGACCGCAGGATCAACTGTAAGTTACATTATACATCCAATGTGTATGACCCTGTTCTTTTCCCCATAGTACAAACTTGCCCTGTTGAAGAGCAGCTTCATGGAGAACTCAGGCTTATCTTGGGAGCTGACCATAAAGAAAGGAAAGGAGGGTGATGGAGAATGCCAGAGGCACTGGAGCTGTGGTACACAGTGGATACAGTCAATTGCAGTGCCAAGCAAGATGGTTCAGATTGGTAGACAAGCCTTAAAGGACACTGAAAGCTTGGCAATCTTCAAAAGCCTCACTTGCTTCCTGCAAGGGGTGAGGGAAATCAAAATGCTTTTTTGGAAGAAACCATAGCCCAGGGCAAATCCGCTGGCTAGATTCATCAAAGAGATAGCTGAGACAGAACGGATTTTTCCTTTCTGTACAGGAATGAGTCAAGAGCTTGTTTATTCAAAAAAAGTAACATCCGCTATTGAAGAGAGGTGGATGATGGGGTGACAGGATGATAACAATTCACTTTGGTGTTCATCAGCCCACTGTCTCCTGTTCCTTGTCCCTATTTGTTCAGATATATTCCAAATGCCCAGATGCTTTGTTCTTTTCTGTCTTCATTCTGCCATTATAAACAAAGCAAACAACACAACTACTGTTTCTCATTTTACCTCAGTTCTTTTAGAAGAGAAACACACTTCATTGCTTCAGAACAGATTTTTGGAGTTGCAAGGCTTGTATTCTTATCTTGATTCTACTGGTTAGTTATAAGCTTAGTGACTCTGAGCAAGCTAGTTAACTGCTCTGGGTCTTTTTTTTTTTTATAAACTTTCTAAATAGAAGAATAATACTTTTTAATTTTGCAAGGTTACTTTGAGAATCAAAGTGGTATATGTGAAACAATTCTCAGAACATTGTTAGTACCACCCTATCATTGTTTTATAAACGGCCAAATCTTTCATTGCCAGTCTCCTATACACTATAATATTAAGAGAATCAAATGCCAACATAATGTAATTAGGTCTTTTGGAGAAATATAACTGTTCCATGAAAAATATCTCCCTCACTGGCTGGAAAGACTTTCTAAGGCTTTGAGGAACACTTTTGAAGGAAGAAGAATTAGATAAATGTGTGTCTGTATACATGAGGTTTCATTTTTCCGCCATATGTGTTGAACACTGGGCTGTAGTTCTAGTTGGACTGATTCAAAGATTTTATGTTGTAGTAGACTATTGTTTAGAATTTTTAAAATGTCAACAAAAGAATTTGTGCTTTTTATTTTGTTCTACATCTTAAATTGAGAAAGGGAAAAAGAGAAGGGAGCTGTGGTACATGGCTCTTTCAGACTCTGTATCTTGCAAACTTAAGGAAGTTGAAAGCTGTAAATATATTCTCTAATACATGAAGAAAATAATTTAGCCAGTAGATTATTTCAAATCCTTAGTTTGATAGTTACTTATTTCATCTTTAATGAAAAAATCCAAGGCTGTTTTTATGGATTTCACTAAAGTAAGAGATGCTCCTTCATCAAGTCAAAAAGAGAAGGCCACAAATTTCCACCCTTATCACTGCGATGTGTGGCATGAATGAAATATAATCCACAGGCAGTTCGGACATGGCTCAACCCCATGGGTCATTTCACTCACTGGGTAAAATCAGGACGTCATCCCCAGGGCCTGGGATGGTATGATTATGTCCTCCCCAACCCTCTCCAACATCTTGCCAGGTTTCAGGGAGGGACCATTTTAAAGCTGATTCAGGTGCAGTTGTAGAAGCTAGAAAATAAAAAAAAAAAAATGTTGCAGTAAATATCTGTCTAGTAAATGACAACTTTCAAATTTCCGGATGTTGATAGCATTTTTACTTCCCAAAGTAACTGCCTGAAAATACTCTGTTTCTCCTAAGATATATTGTTAGCTAGAGATTAAGAAATTATTCAATGCTTAGATTACCTCCATTTCCTGGCAAAATCAATTTCACTTTTTCATAAAACATTTTAGCTTTAGTATATCACAGAATATTTGGAAAGTGAAAGTAAATCAATCGTTAATTTCCATAATTTCAATACATAGTAATAATGGCCACCAATCTTTGGTGTTTCTTTCCAGAATTTCTTAGCATTTTGTATAATTAAGATTGTATCTTAATTATATTCAGGTCTTATTTTTGTATCCAGTTCTGATTTTACTCAGCACAAACATTTTAACTATGAATTTTGAATTCATAAAGCATGCATATATATATATACACATATAAAGTAAACTATAAACAGAATTAACTAATAACTACCTAATATTCTGTCATATAAAATCCATAGTTTACTCAATTTCTAAAGTCTGGTATTTGGGTTCCTTCCACTTTGTTTTTCATATAAATAATACCAGGCTACCCATTTCCATGAAAATCTGGTAGTAATTCTGACCATCTTTTAAAACTAAGTTTCTCAGTTGAATGACTGACTCAAAAGATGTGATCTTTAAGTTCTTAATGTTTATTACAGGCAGAGTACTCCCAAGTGGTTGTGTTGATCCAACCTCTGATGACCAAATGGCATTTTCTTTCAAAGGATTCCACTGGCATGTCCTTTGGAGAACTGAAACATAACTGTCAGTCTCCAGTTTGAACTGCTCAGCATTCTAGGATGCACTGCATCCTTCTGAGCTGGACCTGTTCTTTTTTGAAGATCTAAGAAAATGAGTCAAAACAGAAAATTGTTTCAAATGGATAGTATGGAAAAAAAAATCTTACTATAGGGCCTTTCAACATTTGCTTGCTATTTTCATAAACACAGACAATAAACACCTTCACTTAACAAAAAGGGATGGGAAGAAGGAATTGCTGGCCTTGCCTCCAAGGAGCTATCATGAACCATGCACTGCACTGTGAACAGTTCTTCCACCAACTAAGGTAGCAGAACTGGGAGAATCCCTCTGAGAGTGGTATGCATATTTTGTGTTAATTAAATTGCTTACAATTTGGGGCTGGCTCAGAGACACAGCTGGCTAATATTCCATTTGCAGGGTAGACATCCCAAACAGGCAAAGGTTCCTGCCCCACCTGCTCCACTTTGGCTCCCTGCTAATGGTCTGGGAAAGCCATGTATGATGGCCCAAATCCTTGGGCCCCTGAATCTACATAGGATGTTTGGAAGACGCTCTTGGCTTCCAGCTTCAGACCAGTCTAGCTCTGGCCATGGTGTCTATTTGGTAGTGAACTAGTGGATGGATGATCTCTCTGACTTCTCACTTCCTGTAACTGTAATATGGATTTTTAAGTAAAAATATTTTATTAAACTGCTTACAATTTCTGTTCACATTACATGCATCTTATTTTGTACTTGGAGAGGATTGTGAGTAGGACTTCCATGTACAGAGGCTACTCTATTCTTTATATAAAAGAGTGGCATTCGCATACAACCTATACACATGTTCCAGTGTACTTTAAATCATCTCTAAGATACTTATCCTACCTAATGAAATGTAAATTATATACACATAATTACATATTGTATCTTTTGGGAGGAAATGATAAGAAAAAAAGTCTCCAAAATGTAAATGATGTATTTATGTAAAAGACAGAGTGACAGAGGGACAAAGTAAGAGCTCTTCTTATTATCCAAATGGCTGCAAATCCCTAGGCAGGGCCAGGTGGAATCCAGGAGCCCGGAACCACATTCTGATCTCCCACATGGGTATCAGGGGTCCAAACACTTGGACTATCTTACACTGCTTTACCAGGTACATTGGAAGAAAGCTGGATAGGAAATAGATTGGCCAGGACAAAAATCAGTGCTCAGATATGGAATGTTAGCGAAATAGGTAAAACCTTAATCCACAGTGCCAGAACATCAGCCCCTCCACAAGTGTTTAGCATATACGAAATCTTTTTCCAAATACTTTTTATCTGTAGATTGTTCCATACATTCAAGTAGAACCCTCAAACACAAAGGACTAACTAGAATTATTACTAGCTATTATTATAGGTTTACTTGTTATTCAGGTAACAAGGAAGATATGCAGAGTGTATAATAAGTGATTTGTGCAGGAAACAGAGGAATAAGTATAAGGCAAAAAAAAAAGAGAGCTCAAGCAGAGAAACTATATAAAGTTGGTTTTGCTAAATCAAAGAATAAGGAATTATGTGATAAGCCAGGAGAAATAATCAGAGGTCAAAGGCTGATGGAAAGTGAAAGTGGGAAGGCCATGCATCCACCAAGACAGAAGCTGACAGATGCAGTCTGGGCCTTAAAGTATTTGGGGTGCTTTTGAAGTCTTTAGGTAGAAATGCCAAATTAGAAGTAGATGGATATCAATGAGAAGGATAAGAGAGTGTTCTCAATAGATTTTGGAATAATCCATTTATAAACTATATTTAAAACTCTGAGATGGTTTGGATAGATCTAGAGGATTACAAGGCGAAAAAAGAAAAGGCCTAATGTCAGGACCATGGAGAAACCTCAGTTATTTTCTCCAGCAGAACCAATTTCTCCAGTAGTCATGGTCTAATTAGAGCCGGGGGATAAAGTAAAAGAATATAGATTATGGTCAAACAGAAATTGTAGGCAATTTAATTAGTATAAAATATATACCACACACCACAGGATTAAGGCAATTTCTTAGAATCTAAATCTCACACAGAAACAAGCTATATAAACACCAACACAATATATCTAAGTTTTCTTCCAATTCTTCCTCTTTTTTAATATAATGACTTAAACAAATGTATACAGGAGCAGTTGATGAGGTCAAGGCCTCAAAGGCAACAGAAGGGCCAGGTTTCCAGTGCCCCATTGCCAGTGAATGCTCAAATGAGTAATGTCTAATTTTTCTCAAATTTTACAACAAGCTTTAAAAACCCTCAGTTTCTACAAGTTTAAGTCACAGATGATGGAAACAAACATTTTTCACTTTTACCATCTTTGCTTTCATTTATAGTAGCCTTGAAACTGTTTTTAACCGAACAAACTAGGCCTTAACTATTCCCATTAAGGAATTACAATGAATAAACAAATTCAATTGTTTAATACCACCTGCCTTCGGATAACAAAACCTTACAAGTTTTATTCCTTTGTCAGAGTTACTAGACTACTAGACAATTAAGATTGGGTTTTCATTTCATCATAATTGAAACTGAAATTTAGAGAGAAAAAAGAGGTTTACAAGAGTTAAAGAACTAAGGGTCCAGATACACTGCTCTTGGTTCCTAGGAAACATATAAACCAGATCATGTCCAGAGAATGCAGGTGGTCTTCTTAATAGTAAAGATGAGAAAAATTAGAAGTAACTATTAATTCTAGCAACCATGACATGGATGACCAATATCAGAGTCACCCCAGAGAGATGATTAGAGATCACATTATAGCAGATTGAAGAAAGCACCGGAGGTGAGGATGGGAAGCTGTGAATTACATCACCCAAAATTTCACTGAGACTGAGAACCAGACTTTATTCTGTCTTCCAAGTCGTTGGATAAATTAATGCTATTTTGAAACCAGAATCCATGCATTTTGGCCAGGATTAACCTTGGTGATAAGGTTCCATTTTGCTTCCCTGTACAAATTTGTTAAACACTCAAACTCTGAGCTGGCTTTGCGCTACAGCCAAATACCAGCCTCAACACCTGCATTCATCATCTCTTCTATGGCTATGCATCAAAAAAGCCTTCAGAGAAGTTTTCAGGAGACATATTGGTATCTATATTTTTTGGTCATTGGCATGCAGTGCACTGAAGCAGGTAGCCAAGAAAGATTAGCTACACAAGACAAATAGTTGTTAGCTAAACGGGTAAAGTTCCAGAGATTCTAGAAGAGATTTACTGATAGTAAACACAGAAGGGCTATCAGAATCTCAGATCAAAGTAAAGGATATAGATATGGGGCTGTGGGTAAAGGCTTGGCAAACCCTAGTTAAGAGAAGGACTGATAATCTGAATGTTCCTATATGCAAGTAAACAGTATTTGCCATCAGTAACCTTGACAAACAACATGTTGAAGAGCAGCAACTTTAGAGATATTTTGCCTTTCCCCAACCTTAATGTGTGATTGCTTCACATGCCTCTCCTTTCCCGCATTTTATTTAAAAATTGTGGAGAGTAAGAGGAAGCCAATAAAGCCACAGTGTTAGAAGAGCACAAAAGCCCTCCAATAAGGCCTGCAGAAATGAAGACCTTTGTCTTCACCCAAATTAGCGTAAATTCTCATTCTAAACTCACAAAGCACCCACACAACTCTCTCCAGCACTACTCCCTCTACCTTTGCCCAACACTGGCCTATATTTCTGAAATTTATTGACCATAATGTCCATCCCATGACCTTTACAATGTTGTATTCAGAACAGGCCCTCAATGACTTGCATGAACTAAATGGATGTGTATTTTGTAGCATTATTCCAAAATTACATAAGAATACTGAATCTTTGAATAGTACCCTATTAAAAGGTGACACAGATTGAATAGTATTACATCCTTTCATTCTTGTTTTTTTCAGCAATTTTTAAAATGACAACAATTTTAATATTTTATGAACATTTTGTTAACCAAAATGTGCTCCCATATTTAAATTTTGATATTAGCATATATATCCCACACCAGAGGATTCATGCAATGTCTGAGAACCATACTATTTATCACCAATCTTTGTGATTGCTGGTAACACACTAATATTGTAACCCCTTGTGTTTTGGAAATGTTTTCTTGATGAAAACTGTATTTGTATTAGCTAGAAAAATTGGCTATGAAGGTTAAGCTAACTATAAATTAATATGTGTTCTGAAAGATGGTTTAACCCCATGATAGAGTCTCTGAAATGGCACAACCCTGGACTGGGTTGAGGTCCTTGAATTATTTTTTTTTTTAAAATGCATTTATTTGAAAGTTGGAGTTAAACAAAGACTCAAGGAGGAACTGAGAGGGAAGAAAGAAAAAGGAGAAAGACAGAGAGGGAGAAAAACTTAATCTTCTAATTGCTGGTTTACTATCAAAATGGCTACAACAGCCAGGGCTAACCCAGGCCATACCAGGAGCCAGGTGCCTTATCCGGAACTCCCATATAGGTAGCAGGACCCAAAACAATTGGACAACTTTACACTGCTTTCCTAGGCATACCATAAAAGAGACAGATCACAAGTAGAAAAACTAACACCCATATGGCATGCAGGCATGGCAGGCATGGCTTTACCTATTGTTCCATGATGCTGGCCCCCAAGACTTGAATTTTTAGATTTCATAACTTAATACCAACATGACTACATAAATTACCTAATCATAAGGTCACCATGTCCTCATTTGTAAGAATGAGGCACTTGGACAACAGTTACTGCGAAGTTCTCACCTTGTTAAAATTCCACAACTCTGTGAAGCATTGGCTTTCTATTTCTTTGTATGGTTTAATTAACAGGCCAAGTAAAGCATCCCTTGGCTAAATGAACTTCTTCTGCAAAGCTCTGGATTTTGGCCAGTCATGTTGTCCTTCCCAAAAGGCTTTAATACAGAGGTGTTCTTGCCAAGTTCTGATAGCATTAGAGCCACTAACGTCTCTGGCTGAACCAAGAGGGGCTGCACATATAGATGGTCCAGAAGCTGGAAAAGGTCCACAATGACAGCATCACCAATAGCTACATTTTTTTTTTTTTCATAACTGAGACGGATAGACCCAAGCTATAAATCTCCTTTAGGGGGATTTGAACATAAGGCATTCAAAGAGGAGAGAAATATAGAGGACTTTCTCTTGGAAACAGTTATTTTTTTTTAAATTGGTTATTCATTTTACTTGAAAAAGTTACAGAGAGAAAGGGAGAGGCAGAGAGACAGGTCTTTCATCTGCTGGGTCACTCCCACGTGGCCACAATAAATAGAGGTGGGCCTGTCTGAAGCCAGGAGCCAAGAGCTTCTTTCATAACTTTAACATAGGTGTAAGGGCCCAAGCCATTTTCTGTTGATTTCCTAAGGCATTAACAGGGAGGTAGACCAGAAGTAGAGCAGTTGGGACTCAAATGTGATGCTGGCAGGCCCCAGTAACCGTTATTTTAAAGAAAAGTTACTGATTATTTAATCAGTAATATCCCCAAGTGACCATAGGATTCCATTAAGTCAAGGAGAATTTGGTCTTACTCATTTGTGTCTCCCCTTGCATAAAGACACACAGTGAACAGGCAAAGAGAGATTAAGGAGAGATTAAAGAGAGATTAAGGACCAGGAACATAAAAAAATGAAAACAGAACTCAAAAGCTGTGATGAAAGTATCCTGAATACCATTCCTCATGATAAGCCATAAGCAAGGTATACTATCATTAGTACTTCTAGTTTATAGCTACAGTTCAGCACCTGTGGCTCATTTATTTATTTAAATAGAGGAATCAGAACATTTCCAGATTTGCACAAGCTAACACAAAAATATCACTGAAATCAAAGGAAAACTGTCTTTGAAAACTATTTATCCCTTTTGTAAATGCATTAATTGAGTCAGAATAAACAAATAGGAACATGGAAATGTACTACAAGGTGCTTATGAGATGTTTAGTATTTGCAAATTTAGTTTTTCAGTTAGAAAGATTTCCTAGAACCATCTGACTTTTGGGAGAAGGCTTGTTTACCCGGATTTCCTGACATTACCAGGAACAATTCAAGTTTAGAGGTAACCTGCATTTTCCTTTCCATGTGGAGGAGGCCTAATGGCCCATCTGTAGATCTCGAGTTCTGTGGGCACATATGGCCCATAATTTATGAAATGTGCTTATTTACACACTTTAGTCCTTGCTTTCCATTGTTTTGAAAATAAATGGACCCTTATATCTTTCTTTGACATGCAAACACATATTTTAGTCAGTGAAGTGACATAAAGGGGAGTTGTGAGGAATCAAAGCATTTGGGAGGATACCTGCTTGTTTATAAACAAAATGATGAGGAAGAAGCATAGAACTACTGGAGCACATTCCGCTGTGCTAGGCACTGCCATTTACTGCACTAATACGCACCTGCAATAGATGGAGGGATGCCTTCCCTCACCTGGAGAATTACTCGCACTTGGCCTTCACCTGAAACTGAACACAAACAACCACAACCTGAATGTGACATAAAAATCATCTTAACACTAAAGATATTCACATGTAACCAAAACGACTCCTAACCATATATGCAAAATAAAAACAAAGTCACTGTTCACCTGAAATTGATTTTCAACATTTGATTGTCACTGCTTTTATTCAATTAAACTTAATTTCAGTGAGCGCTCCAAGAGAATTGATACATAAATAATTAGAAAAGGGAACAAAAACCCTGTAGCCACATGTTCTTCACAGGGCACTGGTGTCCTGTGAAAATATCCTATTTTCTTCCCTATCCTTTTGTAGGCTCAGCTTTTAGAATTCATGTTTCTCACCAATAGGGTTCAGATCACCCATGAAATTTATTTGCTTTACCTTTACTCAAATTGTCCTTTTAATGAAGGTTGCTCTTCCCCCAATTCTCCTATCTTCCAAACCAACTGAGCACATTTAAAAGGCCTGGGGTTCATTAATTTTAAGTGTTCAATAAATTAGTGGAAATAATCAAAAGGCCTGATTCTTTCTGATAATGGCTATTTGATGTCAGTATAAACCAGTAGATTAAGCTGGGAACATATGCTCCTTTGCCAAGAGAAGCTGCTATAATTAAATAGTGAATGCAACTACAAGGTGCTCTCACGCCTGATTAATTAGTAATCAGGTGCACGAACTCCATTTTCCCCAAAACACCTTGTCTCTTATTGGTTAATTACTTTTCTGCCTTATCAGATGTCATGTGAGCCAGCACTTCCCATCACTGGAGAGCCCAGCACTGATGGAGGCTGCAGTCTTCAGGCCTCAACCAAACTCATATTCTCCGTTTTTGTCTCCCAGTGATCTTAAACCCATTCCCCTTATTGTAAATCGAAAAGATTGAGGATCATTCTTTCTAATTGCAAAGCAGAAGTTTCAGAACATTTCAAAGAAAATATTTCCCATAGGGACCCATGAATGAAACCTCTCCAATTGGTTTTGATGTTTTCTCATTTTTTTTCAATTGTAAGGAACATTATAATTATTATTTATTTTTAAAACGAGAGTTATAGAGGAGTAGGGAGAGACACAGAATGTTTTTTCCATCCACTGTTTCACTCTCCAGAAGTGCTAGGCAAGGCTAGAGCCAAAGGGAGGAGTTTCGTCTGTACTTCTCACACATTTGGGCTATCTTGTGCTGCTTGTCCTAGACCATTACCAGAGAGATGGATCAGAAGTGGAGCATCTGTGACACAAATCTGCATCCACACTGGAAGCCAGCATCATAGGTGACAGCTCCATATAAAATTTCACAAGGCCAGCTCCACCAAATCTGACTCTTAACAGACTTTCCCACTTCGTCCTCTAAATTCCTTACCTATCACTATTGTTTGGTAAACCAAGGAGTGATGATTTGTTATTGTGTAATGTCTACAGCTCTCTCTACTACTCTTCACCCATGGCTTCTGGACAAGCTTAGCACATACCCAAGAAATGCTAGCTTTGGTCAATACTGTCATTAGAGCAGGCTCATTATTCTAACCGTCAGCTAATGGGCAGAAGAAATACGCTCACACTTTTTACAGCTGCATCTAATCATGATGAAGCATAGTATTACATAGATGTAAGCAACTCATTAGAGCTGCAAAATTTTGCTAGCTGTTTTCTCTAAAACATGGTAAATATAAAGTGTCATTCTTAATTTGAAAAAATACAGAAAGGGAAGCAAATAATTTGAGAATAAAGGTGTTGATTTAGGAAGAGTTCAAAAGCCTTACAGAGACTATGATACTGTACACATGTTTTCTCAGTGCTTCTGATTTCTGGTTTTGTGTTTGTCCTGTGAGCACAGTTAATCTTCTTTGTTTATAACTGGAGCCCCATTGTGGATGATCCTTCCCAGATTGAAAGCGGATCTGGTCTTTGCAAAGATACAATGTCTTTAGGTTAATTACTGCCAGGTTATTTTGACAAATGTTAGGTGATTTAAATTTGCTATAAATATATACATGGATACAAAGAAATGCGCTAAGAAAATGCTTCTGGTAGAGGAAAAGAGGATTACAAAATGAGATGTGATACAGTTTACTACTCAAGTAATGTGCTAAGCCTGGCTAACTTCATCTTCACTAGGTCATCAGGAAAGAGAGAAATTCTCTCGATAGATAGGTCTAGTACTCTTAAAACTTTGGAGGAAATAGTACTTTTTATTTAAAAAGACCAAAATGCCTGGCATCCTATAAAACTCTATGGCTCCTTCCCTATTTTATTCTCCCATTCATATCCTCATTCCCACATTGTCATTTCAGCTTCTGTATATGTTTCAACCTCTTGTTCTATCCACATTACCTAGTGTGACCACACAATAAAAGAGCATAAAAGAGCAGCTGCAACTGCTGTCAGTAAATTTCATCCAACCTCTCCTTGACTCCTGCCTTCACTTCCTGTCTCTATCTGTCCTGGCTCCAGGTTCCAGTATTATTGATCCAGCTGTTGGGCTTGTTCCTCTCTCTGCCTTTCCATTTACCCTGCCAGATCTGCTACCTCTACCTCTTCTTGATTCACTTCACATAGCTGCAGTCTCTGGTTGTACTCTATGTCACCTGTCCTGCTGGGGAACTTGTGTTCATTCCCCAGAAATGAATCTGTTGATCTAGTCACAGAGAAGAAGACTCGCCTGTCAGTGGACCCCTGGGCACATAGGGCCAGTTTTACAGGACCACACCCATCTGATTCCAGCCTCACAAGACAGCCTGGAAGTCATTAGGGCCCTCATAATACACACTCTTTCAAATACCTTCACAGCACTGTTACATGAAAATACTGTGATGGTCTCTGAGTCTTCTAGCAATCCCAGTAACATTCATTCACGTAAGGGTACACATTTTATAAATATATAAAGTTGGTTTGAGGTGCCAGTAGCTATAGCTGCATTAACCACAGTCCCAAGAGCCAGTTCAATTAAAATTTCCTAATTAACTCAAAGAATAACAACTGTTATTTTGACTGAGAGCAATATCTACCACATTTAATAGGAGCATTTGTAATTTCCTGAGTACTGCCGCAGACCTTCCGAAACAAAATTTCCAGGGAGAAACCTGGGAACAAGCATTTCAGGTATTTGCCCACAAGGCAAGTTACACATAGATATACATATGTAATACTGATTTGAGGAACTACACAATTCCCCTTGTATTATCCTTTTAATAACAGCTTGGTCTTAGCAAGCAGAGGGAGACCTTTCCAGAAAAGGTCATTGTATTCACAACAGTAACTTTTCATCAATGATATCCAAAACTCTCAGACTTTGTCTATTCTTGAAATAAAAATGTGCAATGGTAATATCTGCAGTGTAAGCTGTTTCATATTAGTGGTTATGGATTTAATATGTTTTAGAAAAAAGAGTAACTCATTAGAACCATGATTTTATGGATACTACTGTTTAAGCTGAGGCTGGGATTAAAAATTAGACAGTCGAGGACTTAAGAAAACTTAACCTTAAAACGTTAGGCAAATAGTACCAAAGGCATAAGGAAGTGACAAACTTATGAAATGGCATTTAAATATCGAAAATTCAGAAAGTACAGTATTAAAAGCTGGGCCTGGAATAGAAGATGTATAAACTTAGATTTTTTTTTAAGTTGGTTACCAGAAAAAGTAATGATCCCGGGATCAGAAAAGCCATGTTTGGCAACTGTGCTGGATATGCCGCATAAACTGCATGAGACACGCCAGCCACTGAACACTGCTAAAAATTAGCTCCTCTCCTTGAATGATTCCTGGAAATCTAATTCTGAATTTCGAGTTTCCTGTTTCTCATCACCCATCTTCCAACCTTATCTTCTTTCCTTGCTTCTTTCTCCTTTTAGAAAAGTCACTTCTAACCAAAAGATAGAATCTTTTTTTTTTTGTACATTTGCAGTTCCCTTTCCATTTTCTATATTTTTGCTATATAGGTAGTGCATTTCCCTCAAATCCATCCTCTACATTACTAGTGAAAATCCTTTGGGATGTTTGGGGGAATGAATCTCCTATAAGAATGTAAATTAATTTATTAACTAGACTGCTATAAATTGCCTTAGAGGGCCTCAGCATGGCAATGGCTGCAGAGCTGCAAAAGATTAGGATTCAGCTTTGCCTGTAAGATCCCCTTGTAGAGCTCAGGGGAGCCAGGAGGGTCTACTCTTCTCCTTAGAGCCTCACAAGTTCCTTCTCAAGAAGTTACATAGGCTCTTCAAGACCAGTGGAAGAATAGATTGGGATGAGCAGGAGCCATGCTCCTCCCAGGGCCGTGGCTGTTCTGAGAACAGAAGACCTAGTGGGTAGCTGAGAAGAGAAGCTAAGCCTCAGAGTCGGGCAAATGTCCTTTGTTCTGATCATCTCCCACAAGCATCTCTTCAGATCCATCCCTGGAAGGAGACTTGAGTAGTTCAGGGCAGCTTGGCACACACACAATGAAGTCCATCTGTCCTTGTATCCACAGTCCTCTTCCACATGGACCCGGGCCTCGCTCCTCTGCACACACAGCATGCCTTTCTCTTGATGACGGGGTCACAGCTGAATGCACGTGTTGGCTAGCTTGGCAAGACATGTCACTTCCCAGTCAGATCAGAAGAAGGTGGTGTGGTCCAGATCTCGGGAGCTCCGTGAGCAGACCATCTCAGCTGCCGCCTGACACAATATCCCGGCTTGGCTGCCTCTCTCTGATGTGAGTGGGAGCTGTGTGAACTCCGAGGGACAACTGTGAATGGTACAACATCTGATATGAATTTATCACCGGCTGCTGGTTGGGTGGGGGGATGAAGCCCAGAGAAGGGGCACGGAGTGTTTAATGCATCCTGCCGCAACCCAACAGTTTGCCCTAAAGAGCCTTTTACTGGTTTGAAAGGAAAGGGTCAAAAGTAAGTTGACCCCGGACAGAATGTACAATGATTGGAAGAGGGCTGTCTACGAGCAGCTGCTGGAACCCCACTGGCTCCACATCGGGTTTCCAAGAGTCAGAACCTGAATAATTAACTCAAGATTGTTTTCTCCACCCTACTCCACCCGGGACACCTCCCCCGCCCCTCCACTCCCCGTTTTGAGCAAGTCCTATTCTATTTCCACAGGAAGACGCATAGCCCTCCCGAGCAGCTGCAATAACTGTGTTCCTATTGTGAGGAGGACCTCCTCCTGGCCAACCCCCTGCAAGTGGCCATTGTGAGGGGAGAGTCAGTGATTATACGCTCCAGCCTGATGCTTTGAGGGACCCAGCTGCCTAAGTGCTGACACACGAGCATGCGGAGGGGAGGGGTGGTGGAGGCGCGGGGCGGAGGGTGTGGGGGGAGAGCCACGTCTGTGAGATGGCACTGGGACATACCAGACTTTTTGCATAAGTCAAGCCCAGAACAAATGAGGCTTTATCGGGCCCCCATGATGAGAAGGCTCATCTGCCTTTGAAGTGGGGCTGAGCGTGAGGCCCAGCAGCTTTTCCTTCTTTGCACCGAGCAAACATCCTTCTTTCGATATGCTACATGCTCATTATCTCTGCCCCATTTAATGATTTTTGATTGAAGGGTGGCGGCTGGGATGCCGAGAAGATCGTTAGAGTGGCTCCATCCAGCCAAGCCCGTAAGAAAGGCTCTCCTTGTGCCTAGACCTAAATTTGGAATTTCTTAACAGTGTGTGCTTGTTCTTCGAGGCAGATAAGGGCTGAGCGTGAAATTCTTAATTAAGCAATAAATAGAGAGTGGGGTGTCAGCAGATGTAGCCAGTAGCCATGGTAACAGGAATCACATGGGCAAGAGAGCTGAGACTAGATGGAGGCCGCGGGCCTGGGCCTGACTGACAGCTGAAGAATCCTACAAAGCTTGTAAACCAGATTAATTAGCTGACTAATTATTTCATAGCGTTAATGTAACTAAAAAATAAAAATAGTTCACCATGAACTGAAACATCCCTGGGAAAAAAAAAAAAACAGCAGGGAAAGAGGCAGCAGGGAATGACTGAAAGGGAGGCATGAACTACCAGAGCATTAGACTGTGTGAGTGGAAACGTGAACGTGTCCACTCCACTCCCAGCTTCACAGACAGGAAAGAACACTTGTTCTGTGAGCAGATCCAGCCTGAAACATGGCATGGGAAGTTAGAGTCGGGAACTGCTATTCCCAACAGTGTGTCACGTTGAATAGTGCCCCATGGGTCCTTACCCAAACCATAACCCACAGGGACATAACCCACTGTGGTCTGCTCTTTATGCAGTTCCTTGGGCAAAAACCTCAGCAACCTATCTTCTTAAAAGCTATTTTAAGTTGTGTGAGGTTTAATTACTAAGTCATCGATGATATTACATTTCAATCATCATACGTGACATAATATTGCAGATCTGCTACTTCGCAAACCCTAGGAAAAGAAAATAGAATGAACAGTAACAACATGTACACAGACATTGAGACACACAACGTTGTTAATATTCTGGGGGTGGAGTAGGAAGAAAATCTCAACAGAAACAATCCATAGAGGAACTTTCAGTAAAATGCTCTTTTTCACTGTAGCTTCTCACACTCTAATATTTGCAGGGTTTTTGTACCCGTAATTCTAACAGGCAAGTAAACACTTTCAATGTTGAATAAGTAAATCTACTGAAAAGTGGAATAATTCTAGTGCCACACACCAGGTAAAATAGCCAGCCACTCAAGGACGGTGGCTAACATCTCTGTGAACACTTCATTTTGCTTGGTAAATAATGTCACTGTTGGTAAATAATGTCACTTCCACAAAACTCTTTAAATGTTTGCATTTAATGTGGAATAAAGTTGTTATCAAGCTCCTCTGGAAACTCAAAAACAAAAGTTTTAATCTCTTGAGAATTCCAAAAACCCCTGCACTCCATAAAGTGCAACTGTTCAGCAAAAACAAAGCTGACCTCGGTGGAAAGAGAAGGGAAAGGGCAAAACCTTTTGGATATGCACGATTTTCTCTTTGGCAAAGTATCAGTGGGAAGTTTTCACCAACCTCCTTGCCTGGTCACTGCTCCTGCTCCCCTCCAGCACCCAAACCCGCCCCTCTACTCTGATCTTTGGTTGGTTGGCCATGATTCTCTAGTGGGCAGCACACTCTAGTGGAGGGATCCGTAGCCAGAGGCTAGAATGCCCCAGTCCTGATCTCTTACATTCTCAAAAGTGCCTAAGTCTAGTTGGGTATCTTAAACAATGCTCAGAGGAGCCAAGGGGAGGAAATGCAGATAATTATGATCCTCCTAAAAGCTTCCTATCCTGAGGGAAGTGGTAATGTTGTTGGCACCCAAGGTGATCCAGCCAGAAGTGGTCAATAAATGATTGCAATGTGGCCGACAACAAGGTAGCCAAGAGGAGGAGCAGAGCCTTTTGCAAATCTGTCCTGGAACTTGGTGGAACTAAAAGAGGTCAGGCAGTTTCCTTACAACAAAACGAAACTTGGGCATATGCAACTCGGCCGATCATTTCCCAGGCCAGGGAGAAGACCACACAGACTTCATTGACTTTACGAAAAATATTTTATGGGGCCAGTGCCATGGCAAGCAAGCTAAGCCTCTGCTTGTGGTATCAGCATGCCAAGTGAGCACTGGTTCGAGTCCTGATGGTTCTATTTCATATCTGGTTCTGTATTAATAGCCTGGGAAAGTGGCGGAGCATGGCCCAAGTCCTTACTTCGATGTCAGAGACCAGGAAGAGGTGTTTAGATCCTGGCTTTGGACCAGCCCAGCTCTAGTTGTTATAGCCATTTGAGGAGTGAACTAGAGGATTTATAAAATAGCACAAAAATACAGCCAATCTTCAAGGATAGAAAAGTGGACAAAATGTCACGTATGAAACTCTCAGGAAGCCTGGGAAGATGACAGTGAGTATAAAATAAACATTGGTAATAATAATAATTTTAATTCACTATAAGACAGTGTTTCATTTCTAGTGAAACAACTTTGTATGTAAGGCAGGATGGCTGATCATTTATATAAGATGCATTTAATCTAAGAGGAGAGTATAAGTTAAGACATTAGAGTTGGGCCCAGGGTTGTGATGCAGTGAGATAAACTACCACCGTCAATGTTGGCTCTCACACTCTGTTCTGCCTCTGATCCAGTTCCCTGCTAACATGCCCGAGAAAGCAGAAGAGGAGCCAAACATTTGAGCCCCTGTTGTCCATTCAGGAGACAGGGATGAAGTTCCAGCACTGGCCCTTCAACCCATTTAGAGAGTGAACCAACAGTTGGAAGATCTCTCTCCCTTCCTCGATGTCACTCTGTTTCATGAGTAAATAAATTCTTTTTTTTTTAAGACTTATTTTTCATTTTTGAGAGGTAGAGTTACAGAGAAAGAAAGGCACACAGAGAGATCCATTGCAAACATATCCGGGATTCAAGAGTGGTGAGCACTTTCTCTTTAGTTATCCACACGATACTGATCCAAACAGATACTTACCCAGATAAGTGAGCTGCCTCCACTGCCTGTTGAAGAACCAATCACAGCTTTGGTCCCGACCAGGTGATGGATGAGACGGAAGAGCTTGGCCCACTTTAGTGTTACAACTTATGACGATGTCAGGGTAGAGTGGCACATCTGAGTGTACCAGGAGGAGGTAATTCCCTTGGGTAAAGTTGTCAAATGTTGCTGAGTACTGGAAATGACAGAACAACACAACAGTGCTCATTTAGTACAGGTGAATCAAAATCAGGCATAGACAATGTAGTCAGAGTAGCTTAGAAATAGGATGGTTTATACCCAAACAATTGGCAAACACAGAGCCAGATCTCAAATCTCTTTCCAGATTTTTCCACAACATAAAAGGTCAGGCAATGATGGGTGTCAATCATTTACAGCAATAATAACTAACACTCTCAGAGAACCTATCACACAATCAGGCAACATTTGAATCATTTAATCACTAATGGTAACTTTTCCTGTCTCATTTTACAGTTGAGGAACCCGATGTGTGCAGAAGTTCAGTAACGTGTCCCATTTATAAATAAGGGGCACAGTAGACCCAGCTTCCCAGTGCTCTCATTTTATGAAACTTTCCCCAGAATGTGTGAGTGGGAACCTCAAACAGCAGAATTAGAGGTACACATACTCCCTGAGAGCCATGATGCAAGAGTGATTCTGTTCTGATATCATCATAAACTTCAATTTCTCTATCATCTGTCCTCCTGACTCTGAGAGGAACATATATGATGATACCGTGAGAAAGAAACATGCCAAAAGGAAGAAAAGAATGCAAATTTTTCTTGCAGGAGTATATAAAATGCATCAATTCCTCAACATCAGAGTCCCTTGATCTACCCCAGTTTAGGGACCTACCAAGATCTCTATTTGCAACTTAAGATTTTACCACAAGGTGGCAGCATGAAATGTGTAAACGTCTTATTAAGACATTTTCTCTGGCTGCAAGCACTTCTATACAAGTTGATCTTCTATAGAATTTTGCCTGTGAATTTTTTTTTTAAATTACAATTCCACGGGGTTCTTAGAGGTCTTATTTTATTGAATTAATTAACTTAAAATTTCCTACAAAGCCATTCTGTACTCAAGATTTAAAACAATCCAAAACTCATATCAGCATCTACTCAGCTAGTCAAGATTTCATTGTAATTTTATCAGTATTAGGTGATGGTTAATATTTGCAACTTATTATTTCACAGAAAAAAGGCTCAGAGAATGTTATTGGGAACTGAACACTTCAATCAACAGGTTCCTGGGTTACCTGCAAAGATCTGTGGACTGAAGGATTCTCAAATCGCAGTGAGTAGGTCTCTTGGTCCAAGAGCAGAGCCATCCAGCCATGAAGATTAGACAATGTGTTGCCTACATAGTTGACAGTTGTCGTCTTATTTCTGCTGTCAGTCAAGGTTAAACCATAAGGAACACTGGGGGCATCAGCTCTAGGTTGATTTTAAAAGAAAAATAAATGGTTTCTAAAGTTATGTACTTACTCTCAAATACAATAATAGTTTTCTCTTTAAGTCTTATACCCTTATTATATGAATCTATAGAGGTTTTAGCTAATGTCGTGTCAGTCAGAACAGCCCAGTGCAAAACTGTCATTGAATTATTTGCATATTTTCCTCTTCTGACACCTGCCAGTGGGAATGCTCAGATCTTAAGCTATATTAAGAAAAATTTCCCTAATGAATTTACATAGATCAGGACCACACATCCTTCACCTAACAACGAAATGCACAAGCAGAATTTTCCCATAAATCAGCTTCATCAACAATATAAATATATTGCTTTCACCACAGCATATTCCCACAGTGAGCATTGGCTGACGTTTAGGATGTCACATGCTCGGATGCTCAGACACCTTGTTCTAACCATGCAGCAGGAATGGCTCACTGCTGTTATGGAAACTCAGCATTCTTTGGATTTTCTTCATAAAAACAGAGATTGTAGGTGGGCATTTGGTGCAGCAATAAGGCAATGCTTGGGATGTATACCTCCCATATCAGAGCAGCTGCTTCTAATCCAGGTTCTTCTACTTCCCAGCCAGTTTCCTACTAATGCATGCCATGCAAAGCAGAGGTGATATCTCAAATACTTGGGTCCCTGCTACTGATGTGAGAGATTACATAGGGTTCCTGATTTCAGCCTTGCCCAACCATGACTGGTGCAGGCATTTGAGGAGTAAATTAGCAGATGGAAGTTTCAAATTCTATCTCTCCCTTCCCCCCTCTCTCTCTTTTCCCTTTTCAAATGCAGTAAAAATAAAATTCAGTCAAGGTGTCTTCCTCTTGAATCCTCTGCCCTGGGCCTTGGATCTTACGATTATGTAAGTACTAATCTGAGGGCACTCAAGTCATGCATTTCATGAACGAAGAATGCTGAATGAAACTTTCCTTTAAAAGCAGCAGGGCCCCTTTTATATTAAAAGTTTTGAGAAGAACCATATTTCACCAAATGAAGCAGAATATTGTAAAAGTGATATGTGAATGTCATGGGTAAAACCTAGAGAATTATGACCAAATATCCCCCCAAATTATTCCATACACAGCCCATCCAATAAGTGATTTTAAGATTTTATTAGAGCATAGATATATGTAGCTACATGCTAAGATTCCAAAAATCTAAATATGTATTAAAAAGCAAATGTCAAAAAAAAACCCATATCAACACTCATTATAAATTTCCTTCTCCTTTTTGGTTTTCATGAGAATCTTTAATGTCACATTTTGCTGTAGGCAGATAATTGTATTCCCAAAGTGAAAATAAGACAAAGGAGGATCTTGTGTTTGCACACTGAGATGGGACAAGATTAATAAACCATGGTGTATCACAAAAAGAAACTGAGTAGTTCTCTGGATGTTTAAGCTAGAACCAAATGGGTATAAATTGGAAATACAGATCAGTACTCAAAGTGGCATGTGAACTTGGACAAACACGAACACATTTTAAGCTTTAGTTTTTTTTTCTTCTTTTACTAAGTCTTGATTGTAAATATATATCCACATTACTGCAGTGAAGCTTAAAGAGATGGCTGGTGTAAAGCATTCAGCAGTCTTAACTAGGCTGCCAAGACTGACCCACAATTCACCTGGTACAGAATCTCAGATAAGCCAGATTGGCCAATCGGTACAACTCAAATAAATGCTGGGATTCTTAACCAGAATATTTAATCATTTAAATACATAATCAAAAATATTTTCCTGTATAGAACACTCTTCTTGGAAGTACAAGTATTTCTTTTTTTACATCTTATTTCTGACTATTCATACATTTATAGATATTCATATTATATAATGAATTCCTTATAAGAGTAATAAAATAAAATGAAGAAAGGCTTAGGTATTTTGGAATGAAAGAATTATTCTTCCCCCAGTTTTCCTTATGCAACTTTCAGGAAACATCAGAAATCTTGCAGAAGAGGCAAACAAACTTATTTCTTTGTCTGATACTTATGGCTATTTTCCCTCCATTTCCGTCAGACCTTAAGTTGCAAATAAAGGACAATGCTTAAATAGTCGTATTCTAATGATGCAAACAGCAAAGATGTAATATGTGTGCTAACTTCACTCCACTAAATAATACTCTCATCTTCTAGATGCGGTTATTCATATTCTCAAATACCAGGTCATTTCAGTTGTGGAATTCATTGGGTAATCTATTTCTCTCCATTTAAATCATTAAAATTTATGTCACATAGGTATACACCCTGGAATCTAGTTATATACATTTATTGTGGTGATTTCTTCTTGCTGAATGGATTTCTTATCACAGTTTGTCCTTTGTCACCTCTCCTAATGTTTTTCAGCTTGTAGTCTGTATTATCTGACATTAGAATGGCTACATCAGCTAGTTTTTCCTTTCTGTTATCCTTTCCTGTAATCCTAGTACCTACTGCATCCAACTTCTCTATGTTTGGTGTTTATTTCTCAGAAGGTGAATTCTGCACATTAAATATATCACTTGGGTCAATGAGACTAGACCATTTTATGGGACTGCAGAGTTCGTGATTTTATTCGAGAAGAAAATTCCAGGGCAACTAAGGACAAAAGCTTATGAAATGTAATGAATGAAATTTATCAATCTTACATTTTTCTGAAGATTGTACTTTAAAAATAAAGTTCATAACTGAAATGGAAAGGAAACAACAGAGCTCATCCACACATCAGAACAAATGGACTTGTATATACGGAACCTTTCATCCAACAGATGCAGAGCATGCAATTTTTTTTTCATCAGGCGTGGAACCTTCTCCAGGATTGAAGACAACACAGGTCCCAGAACAAGCTTCAGCAAATTTTAAACAACTGAAATCATACTATGAATTTTCTGAGATCATCATATTAAAGTCCAACAAATCAAAATGCCCCAGAAGACAGGTGAATGCCAGGAGACTGAGTAACATGCTGCTAAAAATGCAATGGTTTATAGAAGAAAACAATTAGGAAATAAAAAAAAACACTGCTAGAAAAGAACAAAGGCATCAACACAACATATCAAAACTTGTGGGACACAGTGAAAGCAATGCTAACAAAATGTTTACTTCAGTTAGTGCCCATATCAATAATCGAGAAACTATGTAAATGGGCTAATCATATATCTGAAGGAGCTAGAAAACAACGGCAAAACAATCCCAAGATTAACAAGAAAAAAAAAGAAATAATTGGGCCTGGCACGATACCATAGTGGTTTAAGTCCTCGCCTTGCATGCACCAGGATCCCATATGGGCACTGGTTCTAATCCCAGCAGCCCTGCTACCACTAGCTCCCTGCTTGTAGCCAGGGAAAGCAGTCGAGGATGGCCCTAAGTCTTGGGACTCTGCACCCGCCTGGGAGACCTGGAAGAGCTCCTGGCTCCTGGCTTCAGATTGACTCAGCTCCAGCCATTGCGGTCACTTGGGGAGTGAGCCTTCAGGTGGAAGATCTTCCTCTCTGTTTCTCCTCCTATCTGTATATCTGCCTTTCCAATAAAAATAAATTTTTAAAAAATCTTTAAAAATAAAAGAAATAATCAAAATAAGGGAGGGAATAAACCAAATAAAGACAAAAAGAATACATAACGCCAACAAATCAAAGAACTGGTTCTTTGAGAAAGTCAACAAAACAGATTCCCCACTAGCCCACATAACAAAAGAAAAAGGAAGGAGAAGATACAAATCAATATAATCTTAAATGAAAAAGGAAATACAACAGATACCTGAGACATACACAGAATAAGCAGGAACTATTAAAAGCAACTATAATGACAAGTCAGAATAACTAGAAGAAATGGATATATTTTGGACATATAAAAGCTGTCAAAATTGAATCCTGAGGCAATTAATAATCTAGACCTATAAAGAAGACTGAGATTGAATCTGTAATTAAATCCCTTTCAACCAAGGGAAGCCCTGGTTCAGATGTCATCACTGCAGAATTCCACCAAACATTTCAAGAAGAACCTACTCAAATCCTCCACAAGGTATTCCAAACAGTAGGAAGGGAGAGAATCCTCCAAAACTCTTTTTATGAAGCCAGTATTACTTTAATACCAAAGCCAGATAGACTCAACAGATAAAAAGGACCCACAGAGATTTCCCTGATGAGCATAGATGCAAAAAATCCTCAACAAAATGTTAGCCAACAGACTCCAACAATATATGAGGCTGACCATTCTCCCAGACCAGGTGTAATTCATCCCTGACATGCAAGCATCTCATATGCAAATCAATATCTGTGATATACCACATCAGCAAATTGAAGAATAAAAACCATATGATCATTTCAATGGATACTGAGAAGGCATCTGGTAAAATGCAACACCACCTCATGCTAAAAGCCTAAACAAGATGGGCATTGAAAGAACATTCTTCAACACAAGAAAATATACCAATACTTTATGCCAACATCATCTTAAACGTGAAAAGAGTAGAAGCTTTTCCACTAAGATCTGGAACTAGACAAGGATGCCCATTCTCACCACTGTTATCCAACATAGCAGATAGTAGGCAGGAAATTAAAGAAATTCAAATTGGAAATGGGGAATTACTCCTGTACTTAGATGACATGATTCTATGCATAGGATAACCAAGACTAAACAAAGAGACTGCTGAAATTCATAAGAGAGTTTTGCATGGTTCAAAATTAAGGAACATAAATCAATGGCACTAGTATAAACACATAATTCTATGGCTGAGAATGTTGGGACACACTTAAATAACAGACTGATGGAATTAGGACTCCTTATGAAGCACTATATTATTATAATATGGAGAAAATCAGTTGGGGGGGGTGGGAGTTTTGGGGGAGTGGTGTTGGGGAAATCCCAGACCATATGGAACCATACTATAAAATTTAACAACAACAAAAAAAAGGAATAAAAATAAAAATAAAAATTCTACCATTTGCAATATGGTCTCAACTAGAGACTTATATTCTTAATTACAAGCTTCTGTATCCAAAT